AAAAAAGGGGGGGGGGCCCCCCCCCCCCCCCCCCCCCCGCCTTGTGGGCTAGTGCGCGCACGGACCCCAAGTGAGCGCGAACTTAGGCACATCAGTGTCCTACAATGCGTGTCGCCCCTCCTACCTCGTAACGCGCGCATACCTGAGGGCACGCGCAACTCTCAAAATTTTACCTCAAATCACGTCAAGATTTTGACGCACTTTACTAAATCGCGCGAGAATTTTTGTGCGCTCCACCGAATCGCTTGATAGTTCCACCTCGCTTAACCAAATTGCGCGAGCTCTTCAACGCCCCTACCAAATCGCGCTCGCTATCAAACGGATAAATAAAAAATATTATTTCTCCACGCCACGCCAACGATTAACGAAATATTACAACACCGATCTACTCTCGACACGATCCGGTACCCTTTTTGACGTGGCTCCCATATCGTCTCGAGAGTGGGGGGCTTGCGAGACAACTCCCACGAGGAGCCAACTCGCTCAGTAATACAACCCGCAGCGAGACAACTCCCACGATGAGACAACTCGCTCCATCCTACAACCCGTAGCGAGGCAACTCCCAAGAGGAGCCAACTCCCTCGGTACTACCAACCCGTAGCGAGGCAACTCCCACGAGGAGCCAACTCGCTCGGTACTACGAACCCGCAGCGAGACAACTCCCACGAGGAGCCAACTCGCTCGGTACTACGAACCCTCAGCGAGATAACTCCCACGAGGAGCAAACTCGCTCTGTCTTACATCCCGCAGTGAGACAACTCCCATGAGGAGCAAACTCGCTCGGACCTACAACCCCTTGCGAGCAAACTCCCACGAGGAGATAACTCGCTCAGTCATATAACCCGTTGCGAGGCAACTCCCACGAGGAGTCAACTCCCTCGGGTCTACGAACCCACAGCGAGATAACTCCTACGAGGAGACCACTCGCTCCATCCTACGACCCGCAGCGAGGCAACTCCCACGAGGAGCCAACTCGCTGGGTACCACAACTCGCAGCGAGACAACTCCCACGAGCAGCCAACTCGCTCGACTACAAATCCGTTGCAAGGCAACTCCCACGTGCAACCACCTCGCTCGATAATATTACTCACCGCGAGACAACTCCCATGAGGAGACAACTCGCCCGAAATTCACTATATAATCGCAAGCTCAAGTTAGCACAATTACAACCCTAGAAGCACTTAGAGATATTATGAGAATCTATATAGCCTGGCCAGCTTGATTACTCAAATTTATCTACTTGTATTCGATGGGTCATTCATTAAAACGTGGCCACGGTCCAAACATACTTAAGACCCACGAGGTCTAACAAGGGGCACGACCCCCATAAAAAAAAATCTTGAGAGTCTGATCCCCTCCTCAAGTACATCACGCACAAGGCTATATTTAAACACATATAAGCAACGCGTCAAAACATTGACAATGTCGAAAAATAACAACTCCCACGAGGAGAATACTAGCTCCGTGCTACTACATTATCGTAAGACAACCTCCACGAGGACATAACTCGATCAACTTTATTACCCCAGAGACAACTCCCACGAGGAGATTACTTGATCCGTGCTACTACATTATTGCGAGACAACTCCCACGAGGAGATAACTCGATCAACACCGACGACTCAAATAACTTACATCGCGACAACTTGGTTGCGCTACGCGCCAACGCGCCTTCACGCCCCTCCGACACACGCTCCAATGCGTTTTCGCACACCATTAGGCCATACGCCAACGATCGACTTCTACAATTTTTACTCTCGACACGATCTGGCACTCATTTCAACATGGCCCCCACATCGAATCGAGAGTGGGGGCCTTAATGATATGCATAATTGGGCCAACCCAATGGGCCTACAAATTATTTACATACTGGGCCACAAGCCTAATATCAAAGATCATTATCACCGAGGCCCAATCACCTTTAAGTAAGGTTTCGGCCCGACAATCTCAACTAAGCTATAAATAAAGGTTTGAACTCAATCCTTAAGGTACGTCCTATTAACTGAGCAATACTATTAACTGTATTCTCTGGACTATTTCTATGATCAGCACGTCTGACTTGAGCGTCGGAGGGGTTTCCGCCAGATCAACCCCCGGCCTAGTTCACGTGTTCTATGATCGCAGGTACCTCAGGATCATCAAGTTGTTAAGCAACTGGTCCGCTTTGCTCTCCCAGTTCTTTTTCTACACTACCCCAGATGATCTGAGTAATTAGCATCATCAGTATGCTTTGCCATGGTTTTAGTATGCGAAAGTGTGGTGTTAAGTATAGTAATATATACGAACAAAAGATGATTTTAGTGGCGGAAACTCTTAGTTTTTATTGATGGTTTTACTTTCTTTTATTACTTGCTTATCAGATCAGAAAGATCTTATTTATAGGCTTAACAGCCATACAATAATTTATTAGGATATTAATTGGGAAAATTATACTTTTCATCCCTCAAGTTTACACTGATTTCATATTTGGTCCCCATGTTAACAAAAAACACATTTGATTCCTCACGTTTCAATAATTTAATAATTTTGGTCATTTTCGTCAATTTATTGTTACTCCGTCGGGTAATGCAGTTTACGGGCACACACTTGATTCCGTTAGTACTAACGAAAAATTGAAAAAACTGACTAAAAGTTTTGAATTTTTAAAACATGAGGAATCAAGTGTATTTTTTGTAATTCATTAGGCAATAGAGTTGTTGGACGATGAAGAATAATTGGTTTCATACAGTATCCTGACGAGCTCCGAAATGTTGTAGCCCCTGTCGCTACCTAAATACAGCTGGTTGTGGAACCGAATAAAACTATACCTCGCGGAAACGAACGATAACTTCAATATTATCAATGACGAAAAGCAAATGCAAGTACCCCAGTAATAGAATGTCGTCCTGACCATCGTATCGAGCGGCCATATAAGCTTCACGGCCAACAGGTAACCCACCATCAACAGCACTATTGACAAATGGAGCAGAAAAGTTTTGAGCCTGATGGGGAGCAACGAAAATATAAACACGAGCGACACCGCCAAAGCGAGAGAATTCAGCTGCATGAAAGCATAGAGATCGATGTTCATGTAGATGGGTGCCATTGGGTCTCCACCGCCGGGGACGCCACCAGGAGGGCTGAGCACTGCTTGGTAAGTGGCGGTAGCGATCAGAACCGCCACCACTAGTAAGGAGTTTCGGGTCTCGCTCCGAATGCCGTAGTCTAGATATGCGCCGAGTTTTATCATTTTCTCCCAAATCGATACCTTTGAGCTCAAGTACTGAGCTACCGTAGTAGCAGCAGCAGTAGCATTAGTAGTAGTAGTAGTCAATTCTGATGCTCCAGCTTCACTGTATTTTCCGCTTGCTAATGCCGATACATACTAATTATCACAAAACACAATATATAATATATACAATTAACCTCTATAAATTAATACAATGGGGACTAGCAAAATTCTATTAATATAGCGAAATATTAAATTATCGAACTAAGAATTTAGTAGGTCTTATCGAGTCAAAATCAGAAAAAAACTATTATTTAAGCGAGGTTATTAATTTATAGAGTATTAATTTATTGAGGTTCTACTGTATTTCAAAATTATTACGTCGATCTCATTTCATTAATTAATTATTAAACGCAAACCTCGTATTGATTAGTGGACACGTCAGCATCCAAAATAGTATAGCCTAGCCCATATCCTTCAATTCCAACACATCTCTTCTACCACACCTAATAAGCCACCCAGTGGCGGATCTAGCCATGGTCTAGGGTGTGCAGTTGCACACCCTTGATTTTAAACAAATAATACCGTTATACATAAGTTTACAAGAAAAGTAGTTGGATGAGTTGGTAAAGGTGTTCCTCCTTTTGTTAATTGGTCCCGGGTTCGAACCCTCAGCCTCGAAAAAGTTGATTTTTTTTCAAATCTTTATATTTTTCACCCTTTTTCTCTTTAATATTTACACAATTCACCTAAAATTTTTAAATTGTAAATTTTTGGTCCACTATTTTTATAAAGTGATATTTAAATTTTTTATTCTACAATTTAGCACCCCCTTGGCAAAAATCCTGGATCCGCCACTGAAGCCACCCACATAAAACCCGAAACGCAGCCCACTTCCGGTTCCTCACCGCCACGTGGGCGGCGCTCTCCTCGCGGACCGTTAACACGTCGATCGATTTTGGGCAAGTGAGAAGAATTTGAGCCAATAAATCGGCATCGTCCGCTTCGGCCGCCAAATGGAGGGGCGTGATTCCCTCTCTCCCTTGAACTCGGGCCAGTCCCGGGTTCAACTTTATCATGGCTCCGGCAGTTCCGCCGTGGCCCCGCCGCATGGCCAGGTCAACGGGGGTCAACCCGTCGGTGTTCAGCTTTGTACAGAACGAGGGCATGAGCCTCTGGATTTCTAGCGCCAGCAGCGTCCGTCCTTCTCCGGCGGCTAAGTGCAGCGGCATGGCGGCGAACGGCTTCCGGTCGAAGTCGTGTAGAAAATCTGGATCGTGCTTTATTAGTTTGTACAAGGAAGCTATTGCTTGTTCATCGGAACCACGCAATAATACTTCTTCCATTATTATTTTTTCTCCAACTAATTTTTAACTTTGATCAATCTTCAAGGAATGTATATATGTTAAGTGTATATTTATACACTTAATTCTATCTTTTAATTGGAGCTTTTGATGTGTTTTTACGATAATTGGTGCTTAATTTGGTTATTATTTGTATTTTAGGTGCAAATTGAAGAATTGGCAACTTTTGGGGTGAAAACTGCAAATTCAGAGAAAAAGTGGGCCAAAAGTGAAAAAATCAGAAATCTGGAGAATCAAAGACCGCACGGCCGTGCGGATTTTAGTTCAAAATCTCACACGGCCGTCCGGATGGACGTGAAGGCGCAGTGAAGGAATTTTAATTACACAAGGAAACCCGCCCTATTATATTTTTGCACCCTATTTAAAGGCCAAGAGCACACAATTAGATCTATCTTTTACCTTTTATTTTTATTTAAAGGCCAAGAGCACCCTATTTGTTGCTAATTTGTGCAGGGGGGTTCAAGAAAAGTGCAAATTTCTCCAAAAATCCATTCCACCAAGAACGCCCACAAGGTGTTCGACGAATTGTCCGACTCAAGTTTGGGGGAAATTTTGCAAAGCAATCCACTCCTAATCCCTTCTACACACATTCTCAAGTCATGGGGAAACGAGGACGTGACGGGGAGGGCACTTCACAAGGCGAGGGAACTTCAAAAGGCAAGGGGAAGGGCAAGAAAACCGACCAAATTCCGACACCCGACGATGACGCTTTTTGTGTCGAAGGCGCTAGTGCTCGTTTCGAGAAGCAAAAGGGGAAGAAACTAGTAACGGAGCGTGCCTACGAGATCACCCTTCCACAATTTGCCCCGTTACATCAAGAATTCCTACGACGAGGGTGGCAAGCACTATTGGAACCGGAGGGTTCGATCAACCTATCATTGGTCCGCGAGTTCTACGCCAACAACCATATACACCTCACAGAGGAGCGGAACGTGAGCACGGTTCGCGGCAAGCAGGTCGAGTGGAATGCCTACGCAATCAATTCTTTCTATCACCTCCGACACAGGACACCATTCAATTGGGGGCAAATGCAACTTGCGGTCACACGAGATCAAATCGCCGAGGTGTTGTGCGATGGACCCCCCATTTGGTCCGAACTATCAACCGAAGAAAAGTACGAGTTAGAGTGGAAATGCATCAACCAAGTAGGCAAGGCGTGCCTTACGTTCATTTGTGCCAACCTCATTCCCACCCGCTCGTGGACTCGCGTGGACCCCGAACGGTGCGCTTTGGCATACTACATCCTCAAGGGCACCCCGATCAACATTGGCGCAATCATATCCGGCCGATTTTGGACCTCCATGGTCAACAACTCCAAGGGATTTTATTTCCCTTGCCTCATTACCAGCTTATGCAAAAAGGCGAAGGTCCCAACCAAACCGACGGACATTTTCACATCAATTCGAAATCCGATGAACGACCTTGCGGCCCGGCAATACAAGGCACCCATCCAAGATGGCGAGCAACCCGTCGAGAACCAACCAATAGCTCCACCCGAGGGTTCAAGCACAAGTTCGGACCGACGATTTCAACGAAGAATGGCGCGAGAGTTGGTGATCACGAGAAATCGGCTTGCAACGGTGGAGCACAAGGTGAGCACTATCGAATCCCTCCAACGGTGGTCGGGAAAGATGCTTCAAGACATTGTACGCCATTTGGCATGTGGCAATCCCGAGTGCGAAGAACCGGCTCCGTTGCCCGCACCGATTCTTGAGCCGGTACCCGAGCTTTCGGATGATGACGGAGATGGTAATGCTCATGCGCAAGGCGGAGTTGACGAGCAGCCCAACGATGGTCCCGACGCGTAAACAGGTGTTTTCTATCCTTAAACTCCGGGCAAATCACATTGAGGGCAATGTGAATTTTAAGTTTGGGGGTGGTTAATTACTTGTTTTCGTTTATGTGCGCTTTATGTGTGTTTTATTTTTTTTATTTATTTTGCATGCTTTAGTTTTTGTTTTAATTGCCGTTTTATTATTTTCGTTTTTCGAAAAAAAAAAAAAAAAAAAAAAATTGTGTCCGATGCATCGATGAATTATGATGATGATAGATGGTCAATGTTTGATGATGAGACTACTTGTTTTATGTTGATAAGGAGTATGTATTTGTTTAGCTTTCGATTCAACGGAACGTAGAAGTGAATTATTGCTAGGAATCACACCTTATGCATTGCTTTGGTTGAATGTTTTGCATTTTAAATTTGGAATTTATTTGTGCTCAATCATGCTTTGTTCGGTTTTAAATCTCACCTTAAGACATTTATGATACGAAGTGTTGGGTAGTAAGCGATTTGGGAGATGATTTGGGCCTTCTTTGAACCGTTTGAGCCTTTCAAGCCTACCTTTAAATTTTTATCCTTAGAACCTTGATTTGAGCCTCAGAGAGAAAAGGTGTTCTTTCTTTTAGCCAATATGTAGAAGGTAGAAAAGTGGAGATTTTTGAATAATTATCCCTTGGATTTCGGTCGAAATGTTTTATAAGATCTTTCTTCTTCTTCGAAAAAAAAAAAAAAAAAAAAAAAAAAAGAGAAAAAGAAGAAGAAGAATAGATTAGAAGGGAGAAATAAGGACTAGTGGATGAATTGTGTTGAAAACTCGAGTCATTGCCTCAAGGCAAAAGTGTTGACGTGTGAATTTTGGAGAATCGAGTTTATTAAAGTCCCTAGAGGTGAATTCATTGTTTCAAACGCCTATCTCTCAAATTTTGGCGTAATCACCTCAATTCAAGAAAATTAGCCACACATTCCCATATTACCTACCTCGGACCAAAGAGCCTAACAATTGAAAGCCACAAAGTCCCAATGATCCCAAGAGCTTATTGTTCAATATTAGTTGAGTAGAATAATTTGGTGAGTATTTGGAGTCAAATATATGCATGTAAGTATAAATTCTTTCTTTCTTTAACTTGCAAATATTGGATACTTGAAGCAATTGTATGATTTGTGGTTTTTGGTAATAATGAGTGACTAAGTGCCGTTGAATGTTAAGCTTGCGAATACCTATGAATTGTCATCATAATTGCAAGTTCTGAAAACGCGAAGTTGACCCATCGATCTATGTAATGAGATGTATGGTTTTGTTTTGTGCTATTAATTTGATTTTACTTGAGGACAAGCAAAAGTTCAAGTTTGGGGGTGTGTTAAGTGTATATTTATACACTTAATTCTATCTTTTAATTGGAGCTTTTGATGTGTTTTTACGATAATTGGTGCTTAATTTGGTTATTATTTGTATTTTAGGTGCAAATTGAAGAATTGGCAACTTTTGGGGTGAAAACTGCAAATTCAGAGAAAAAGTGGGCCAAAAGTGAAAAAATCAGAAATCTGGAGAATCAAAGACCGCACGGCCGTGCGGATTTTAGTTCAAAATCTCACACGGCCGTCCGGATGGACGTGAAGGCGCAGTGAAGGAATTTTAATTACACAAGGAAACCCGCCCTATTATATTTTTGCACCCTATTTAAAGGCCAAGAGCACACAATTAGATCTATCTTTTACCTTTTATTTTTATTTGGAGTTTTTATCGTTTCTACACGCAATCGAGGAGCAAGAGAACGAAGACGAAGACTTGACGAATCTTCATCCTAGTTTCCTTTTTCCTTTTCTTTTCTGATTTTTATGAATTTCCGTATTTTTATTATGCTTTTCGTTACGAACATGGGTAGCTAAGTTTTTATTCTAGGATTTTATTGGAACCCTATGTGGTGATTCGAACCTCTTATTCGACTTTTATGCAAGTTTAATTCTTCGATTATTTCTTCTATTTTGATCGTATTTAGTGCATGAGCGTAGCTAACTTATGTTGCTATTTGTTATTGTTAGAATTGATTGACAGATCGTTTTAATAATTAGAACAGGGATAGAAGAGCCTTCGAGTAATTTTTCACCGAATGCGTGTGTTGATTGCATGTATTATCGTAGACATACAGATAATACCTTAGGTAGCCGTTTACGAGACTTGTTATTTAATGCTTTATTTATATTAGGTTTGCATAGACATATAGTGAATCTTTTATGAATAATAGGTTTATAGCGCAGCGACAGCTGGTTATGAATAATTTCGTGTCTTAGGTTAATAATCGGGAATCGTAACTTGCATAATCGGAGATTAGTTGGGTGAAGAATTATCGCATAGGGGGAAGATAAAATCCTAGATCCGTTTATTATTGACTTTTTCTCGTGATTACTTGTTTTCTTAATTATTTTAATTTTATTAGTTAATTAAATTGACAACCCTGCGTAGGCTGGATAAAAATCGTAATTGTTAAGATTTGGTACTTAGGATTAAATAATTTGCGTATTCCCTGTGGGATCGACATCCGACTCTCACGAGTCTACTTTACTACTTGTTTGCGATACGTACACTTGCGTGTTGGTATTTAGCACCCAACAAGTTTTTGGCGCCGTTGCCGGGGAATACGGCTAAATTATTTATTTATCCTAATATTAAATTTGAACAATTTTTCTTACTTCAGCCAATTTTTTTTTTTTTTTTTTCTATTTTATTTAATTATTTTTTTATTTTGTTTTAGGTACTTTTTATGCGAAGAGGACACGACACGAGCCTGCTACCTCTTGATCCCGAAATTGAGCGAACGTTTAGGCAAGCCAGGAGAAATCAACGGTTAGCCCAAAACAATCCGGCAACGATGGAGGACGAGAATAATCGTGGAGAAGGTGACCAAGGGCGCCTACCGAATACGGCAGGGGAAATCGTCAACGAGCAAAACCAACGCCAGCTAATTAATCCACCACCGCGTCAACGAGCACTGCATGAGTACACCGTTCCAACGCTTAATGAGTTCCAATCAAGCATCCAGCAGCCCCCCATTGAAGCCAACAATTTCGAGATTCGAGCGGGACTCGTCACGATGCTCCAAAACAATGGTCTTTTCAGCGGATTGGCTCATGAAGATCCACATCTTCACTTGGTCAACTTCCTCGAAACGTGTGACTCGCACAAGATGAACGGAGTAAGATCCACATTTTGCTTGTATATATATCAGACTGTAGTGCATTCAAAACTGCATTTTTTGACAAAACAAGTACAAACTAGATAACATTCCACAAAATCTAAAAGATTATGTTGAATTTGACACCATAAAAATAAACGTGTAACCAAATTCATAATTAATAATAATTGTAATTATCCAAACATATGGGATTTTTCATAATTTTACTAAATCCAGGATAATTGTAATTTATCCAAAAAAAAATATTGTTCCAAAATCTGAAAGGTAATCTACCGGAATTCAAAATTTCCATTCCAATTTACACGCCAAATTGGACCTTAGATGAAAATTCATAAGCCAGAGGCTTATCTTTACCCGGTTCATTTATTTACATCTAAAAAGTCTTGGAAATTTCAGGAACCTTCTTGGAACTTGAAAGAAACATCGGTAAACGACGTCGTTTCTATTCTCATCTTCATTTTCACGAGGTAAGTACGAGCAATACACACTGAATTTCTTGATTGAATTTTACTTCAATTTGCATATTCTTGCGTAGGTACGTTCTGTATCACCTAAAATCATTTGCGCAAGTGTTTCGTGTAACTGCGAATAAATTAAAAATAAATGTGAAACAAAAAAAATAACAGTAATAAAATAAAAATGGAACCTTTATTTCTGACAGTGTAATTAGGGTTCTAGTGGTGTTTCTGTTCATAGTAACTTTTGAGTTATCTGGGTTTCATTTGTGGTGTGTTGGTTTTTATACTCATGATTGAATTAGTTTTTTTTTTTATTTATTCTTTTTTTGATCTAATTCAAAATATTTCTGAATAATTTCTCTTTGAAATTTTTCTGCAGATTCGTGTTTCTTGAGCTATAGTTCTACAATTCACATGACTGCGTCTTTTCGGGCTTTATCGAGCAAATTCAGGCCCGTCTATTCTTCGAAAGGAAGATGGGGTAATTTTTATTAATCCTCTGTTAATGATCGCGGATTAATTCATAATACAACGAAAATGTCGATAATATATAAAATTAATTGCACTAATTTTGTTGGCGCAGCTGGCACGGTGACTCCTAGAAAACTTGCAAACGATAATCCTAGTGAAGCACGTTTCGCAAAGGAGGAATCCGAGCCGAAAGTTGCTTTCGCCAGGCCGCCTTTACTTCCGCCACTCCTCGGACCATTGGTCGCTCTCTCGGTAATGCAATCGTCGACTAAGTGGGATAACAACGACGATTGAATTAAAAAAAAAAAGGTGACACTTTGTCTTTTTCCTTCGAGTTATTAGTATAATGTAGTGTGTGATTGTAAATAAATCTAAAAGCGCGTGTGTGTATTATATGTTGAAGATCTTTGCGAGGTAGTGAAGTATTTTGATGGTGAAGCTCAAAATAGAAGATGCGATGCTCAATAGTTTGATGTACCATGCGAGAATTGGGCTTATTATCGGCTTTATGCATACGTTGCATGTGTTTAGCAGTAGTCGAAATACGATATGTGGACTCTTTAAGAACCCTGCATTTACAGATTATATTCTGTCGTTACGGTGTTTAAAAGACGAGATTAATAAATAAAGTATTTATTGAATGTCGACACGTACACTCTGTAGCTGCGGGGAATGCGTCGAATAGTGTACTCACTATCTTGAATATCGTCTGATTTTTCAGCCAAAAAAAAAAAGTAATGAAGAAATAGAAAATCGAGCAGATCATTGAATACTAAAGTAGCTCGTAAAAATCATATAGTGTTTCCTCGATTATTATTATTTTTTTTTTCGACATGTTCGGCTATATTATTGAGGAAATGAATATATAATAAAAATAAGTTGAAGGAAATTTGATTACCAGTGCTACAACTCCTAGTTTGATAGGCGACTCGATGAGAACTTGAGCTTTCCTGCATGTAATTGCGAAAATCGTATTATTTTTTTTATCTCCTATTTAATAAAACCAGAGGTTCCGTATTTGTTTAGAAATTGTAATTTTTCCATACCCGATGACTAGTTGATCGCCTTTTACGAGTAGTGAGTAATAGCTGCATCCCCTAGTGAAAGGAACCTGTATCTTGTTCCAATCTGCAGTCACACAATCGAAATTCTCCTTATTATTTATTCTTTATTTTTATTTGTCAAAAAAAAAAAAAAAAAAAATTGGAGAGAAATTACCCAAGTGCCAATTTACGCCAGCTGTATAGTCGTTTCCTTCGCATATATGGTCGACGTTAAATTTCATATTATGACCCATGCACGTAGTTAATTGTTCCAAGAAACGCAAGACCTCCTATAGAATCGAGAGAGAAATTTCGTTACATGAATGAAAAGTGGTTCGATTATTCGTTAAATTTCTGAAATTAGAATATACGAATAGTGAATACCTTTTTCCCTCGGAATGGTTTAGGAAAAGAGTAGTCTTCGAAGAGACAATCTTCAGCTATCAAACTGTCGAGTTTTTTCAAGTTCTTGTCGTTAATTGCCGAATAAAACTGCATAACTGTCCGAGCAGGAGAAGGTGAGCTCGAGCTGGAAATATAATTCCGACGTGGGATCGCAAATAGTTTCGTTGGTTTTCTTTCGACGACCCTCTTCGTGTACTTGATTTCGTTTTTCGACTGTATACTCTGCCTGGTAATAAAACTGCTAAATCCCATAGCAGCAGCCATTGCTGGAAGATTTGAAACGGGATTTTACTTTGTTTTACGTGAAGTTTTACGGGAAGTTTTGAGTAATGTAAGAGGACGAAAAGGTCATTTTTTTGTTCCTTCGGAGGTGGAAAAAGGTATCTTGGTACTTTGCCTTGAAATGTAGCCAAAGAATTTGATTCCTATAAAATCTCTGCATGTTGAGAAAGTTATGCCCTTTTCAGACAGCCCGGAAATTTCTCCGTCTTCTTGTTTCGATTTTTAGACGATTAAGGAACATACTTGTTAATTCAGATATGTCGTTGGTTATTTCTACCAGCATAAATAACAAGAATCTAATTGGGTGAAATCGAAATTGGAATTCATCTTTTACTTCCGAACAAAATTGAAAATTTTCCGAAAAAGCCACTTTCGATCCGTTCCGTCCGAATTGACACAAATAACAAGAATGGTTAAAATATATAATATAACTTTATGACATGTTTTGTAATTCTATAGTATCTCATGTAATATTTTATAGGAAAAATAAGACCTAAAATTAAAAGATTAATTGCTATCAGAAACTATCTTTCGCATTTTAGCTTATCAGAAAATCTCTGTTTTAATTTGTTATTCCTACGCGTGGTTGTATTTATTGTGTTTTGTCGAACTCCATTTTTGATTTTCTTGCATTTCCCTGAAAATTTTCAAAAAATATGGAATAATATTGTGAAAATTCCCATCATATCCAAATTTGGAACTAGAAATTATAAACTAATGTAGTTTCTTAAATTTCAGAAACCCGGCCGATTCCGAAATTGAAATGAATTTTGCATTCTATTTTTTTTTGGAACAGAAATTGGAACCCATCTTTTACTTCCGAACAAAATTGGACAATTTCTATCAGCATAAATAACAATAATCTAATTGGGTCGTCTGGAAATTGCAAGGTCGCGCAAACAAAGAAACTTGTGTCTTGCGCAGAGAAATTATCGAAAACGAAATGCTGTTGAATAAATCCACAAGCCACCAAAATTTGTTCACAGTGATAGTTTTACAGGGGAAACGTAGATAATAGTACCAAGAGTTTCAGACATTATAGTAAGTAACTTAGTACTGAGATTTCTTCCTAGGCGAATTCGAATACCGAGGAGAGGAAGATGGCGAAACGATCGAGACCAATGATTGTAATGCCTTTGCCGCTATCTTCATCTTGATTTGGCCTCTCTGTGGAACGGGACTTGTACTCTTGAAATTCTTGCTGAATGCAGCTGCTGACGTGGCATCGTTTACCTTTGTCCTCATTTTCTTGCGAGTGTTTTCTTTTTTCGACGTAAAATCGAACTAATTCTTGTTTTTTTGTAAGAGATATTGATTTAGCTGATCTTCGAGACTCGGATATCGAATAATGCGTGAGAATTCGAGTATATATAGGAAAATAATTTCGAGGTCGAGTTAGCCTTGTTTCGAGTTGTTGGGTGGGTAAGGGAAAATGGTAGCAATTTGTTGCCGGAGATTAGTAGTAGTGAATAGGCAGGGCAGTGAGGAACATGACAGCTAAAACAATTGTGACATTGAAAGATTCTGTCAGGGCAGCACATTTACATATTATTTTTTTTTTAATTATTAATATTATTATTTTTAATGATTTATTTATTTATTAATGTTTTGGCTGTTACAAGGCAGAGATGGTTTCCTATTATTGGATAGGGTAGATGATTTTTTATATGTCAACCCCATCTTATATGAGTAAACAATAATATGAGTTATAACAATATTTTTAAAAATAATTAACCATTCTTGTTATTTGTGTCAATTCGGACGGAAGTGATTTTTTCGGAAAATTTCAATTTTGTTTGGAAGTAACAGATGGGTTCTGATTTCCGTTCCAAAAAAATAAGAATGCAAAATTCATTTCAATTTTAGAATTAGCGGAATTTTGAAAAGTTCAGGAACTACATTAGTTTATACTCTCTTGTTCCAAATTCGGATATAATGGGAATTTTCGCAATATTTTTTTTATCATTTTTGATTTTTTTTAGAAAAAGGCAAGAAAATCCAAAAGAGAGTTCGACAAAACGCAATAAATACAACCGCATATAGGAACAACAAATTAAAACAGAGATTTTCTAATAAGCTAAAATGCAACAGATAATTTCTGATACAAATTAATTTTTTTAAGATCTTAATTTACTTGCCCCTTGGATTCTTATATACTTTTCCTATAAAATATTACATAATTTATATTATTGAATTACAAAATATGTCATAAGGTTTTATATATTTTGAAAAATGTTGAAATATTTGGAATTAAAATCGGACCAAAATCAAAATTTTCGGCAATTTTATATACAATTCCGATCATGTTCCAAATAAAATCGGAAAAAAAGACCAAAATTTAGGAAATCGAAATGAAAAATACGGTTCTATATTCGGATATTTTCGTATCGGAATTGCCGGAATTCGGGAATTTCATTCCAATTTCTAGTCCTATTCACAATGTAATAATTAGAGTAAAATTCATTTTATATCCATGTACTATGCGAAATATATCATTAACCCCCTGAAACCCCCTGCCGCTGTTAACCTTTTTACTGATACCGTTAGTCAAACCCTTTGATCGATTATTGGCTCTTTGTTTTTGGCGAAAATACTCCAAAAAAATCTAGGCTTAGTTTTGGCCATTTTTCATCAAAATTTGCACTCTTTTCAGCTTTTTTTCTTCTTCACTTTATTCAGTTATTTTTAAATTTATTCAGTCAGTTTTAACTGTTTTCAAACCTTTTTTTTTTCTTTCGTTTCTGCATAAAACAACTGAAAAATCGAATACATAAAAATGAAGCTTTGCGTATCGTAAATGCAAAAACCCATAAAATAGAAAACTGAAAATCCCTAATTTGAAATAATTGCAAAGCTGAAAACAAAGCTTTTCATATTATAATCGCAAAAACCCAAAAAAAAAAAAAAAAAAAAAAAAACTGAAAAACGAATTTTACCCTAATAATCTATTACCACTTGAGCTTTTCTCCCGCCAAAAAAAAATAAAACATTCAAGCTGTCACATGCTGAATGGGAATCTTTGGTCCAGCTGGCATGCCACCCTCCATCCCATCCCCGTGGCATTTTAATTTCAAGATTTCTTGCTCGATCAACCTTTCCTACAGTCGTACAGTCTGTCCTTTTACTTCATACTTCACAGTTAATTGAAGAAATTGAGATTGTAGTTGTTACCATGGCATCGAAGCGTGTTTGTAAGTGATGACCCATTGTACGGCATACGTGAGGTCAAATTTTATTTGTTACGCCCATACTTGTTTAAACGTGGAATAAGTATCTTGTCTTCTTGAGCTAGCTTTCAGAGACGAGTTCTACCCAAATCCATTTTAAATTATCCACTAGTATCGATTAGTGAATGCTGTACCACGAGCGTGTATTGCATATGGTAGCAAAATGTAGTATATTATACAGTTATACTGACCCTTTGTTGTGCAGTACAATGCACAAGTGTCCTCTAAACATGAAGAGAGCCATTTCAGCAAATGCCCCTTCAAATAAACAAAGTTCCAACATTTCACATTTCCCACTCAAAGGGTATTACCGACATTTCACATTTCCGACCAAATCCAAGCCCGAATATCATTCTCTTCGCAAAATAGTTGTCAAACACTCCACTCTCGTTTCACCAAACAATTTCAGAACACAAAATTAGAGATATCTTTCTTATGGTGAATTGTGCATATTGTAGTCCGAAAATTGTGAGAATTGTTCATTTCCTCTTCGATTAGAAAGCTAGCTGAGTGTTCCCGTCACAAGGGTTCAAAATCATGAGAGAAGGAACACAAAAGAGGACACTAGTAATGTATGGTTTCAATTCGAACAATGTGTATGCAATTGTGAGAATACCAATGCATCAGGCCGGAAACGCACAAATATCTTACCTCTGTTAAAGTTCTTTCACTTTGGGAGAGAAGAATCGTAATTTTGGAGAGTAGGTAGAACACTAATTTTTCGATCCTAATGTGTCATTAGCAGGTTATACGACAAAATTATACATATATATACCTTGAAATGATGGCAATACCCATTGAGTGAATGAAGTTTTGTCAATTCTGTAAAAGATACGCCGGAAGTTTGACTTTGGGGCAAAATGCAACATACATATATTTTGCAAGGGTGGACGTCAATTTTTTTTTTATTTCTAGGGGCCAAAGTGCAATTTGTCCTAATTTTATATTGTAATAAAAAAGTTTTGGAAAAAACCTACATAAATTTACATATATGTATGAAAGAAGTTCAAAAATATGCTGCTTGTAAATGGAGGTATGTTACTCATTCCTACTGCAAAGGTTATAAGTTTTATGCAAAAAAATGTAATCTTGAGAGGTGGAAAAAGGTATCTTGGTTCCTTGCTTTGAAATGTAGCCAAAGAATACGATTACTATAAATTTATTCTCCGTCTTCTTGCTTCGATTTCGACTATTAAGGAACATATTTGCTTAGATACGTCCTCGGTTGTTTCTTTCAGCATAAATTACAAGGATCCAATTGGGTCATCCGAAATTGCAAGGTCTTGAAAAATAAAATATGGAGGTTTTAGCATTCGGTACCCCTGTATAATGTCTAATGGTTAAAAAAATCCTTGTGTTAAAACAATAAGCACATACCCCCTTATGTTACATAGTCAACGATATTAAGGCTCCTCCTATGAGCTGTTCGTGTAATATACACGCCAAATATGCGACTGAGGTTCGATTTTTTTATATGAAAAGACCCAAATACCCTTTACATTATAAATTTCAAAAATAAGCCTCAAATAAAATTTTCATTTTTTTCAATTCAGTCCCTTGAAGGAAAGCCCTCTTCTTCCTTAAGTCAGGGACTGATTTGCAATTTTCCAAAAATACACTGAACATAGCTGACCGCCGCTCTCCTTCCGGCGCTCTCCGGCCTCACCTCCCTCCATATCCTCAGCCTCCGCTTCGCTCCACCACTCCAACAGTTTCTCCGACGAAATTCGGTTCGGATTGGAGCTAAGATTCAAGCTCATTATTCTTCTGCAAAACCCATCAACAAC